CACCGCCACTCACAATCTGTCCAAGAAACCACCCCGAAGACAACTTTGTCATGGCACAGTTCTCATCTTTTTGATGAAAACATTCCTCCTTTTGTCATTAAACTAACTTCTAAAATGTCATCTCAAACTGTCATGAGACACCATTTCACAGCCCGCTGGACGGCTGGACTCAGAAGGTCGGGTGAGGGCAGGGAAGGGTGTGGGGAGGCTGCAGCCCGGAGCACTGCTGGAGGGACGCACATGCTACGGCCAATCGGGAAGAGTCTGTCGGCTCCTCAAACGAGTCGACACAGGGCTAGCACACGATTCCACCCCTAGGTTCACGGCTGAGGAACGAGCTTGCACACGAGTGTGCGCAGCGGCATTATTCACAGTTGCCAAAGGTGGACCGTGCACCAGCTGCTGAACGATGAGCAGAATGTGATCCATCCACAGAGGGGACGCTGTTCGGCCACCACGCGGAGGGCGGTGCTGACCCGGGCCACAACGGGGACGAACTCCCAGCACGATGCTCCGCGACGCGGCCGGACGCGCCTGAAGCGCCCAGCACGGCGGGAGCCGCACACAGAGCAAACCGCTGCGTGCGTGGAGCTGCGGGAGGGGGCTGGGGGGCGGCGGTGGACCTAAAGGCCGTGCGGCTTCCTCCGGACGTGCCGAACTGTTCCATGACTGACTGGTGACTGTCGCACAAGTCTATAAATACACTACAAGGACACTGACCTGTACATTTTAGATGGGCAGATTGCACGCTATAGGACACGTCTCAATAAAGGTATGAAGCATTTTCTACCCAACTTTACCCTTTGACGCTATTAAATATTGTTCAGGAGACAGAAGACCTTAGCTTCTGGCTTCAAGCCATCCTGACCCACGGGCCACAAGAATTAAACAAGCGTGTGTCGCCTAGGTCTAGAAAGAAAGCTGCAACAAAACGCACGCCGCTTACGATGGGGCAGGCAGTTCCGCGGGAACACCGCAGAGCGGCTCGCACGCACCGAGACGGCGCGGCCGCTGCACACCTGGGCTGGGGCCGGCCTCCTGCCCCGGGCCACCGGCCTGCTCGGCGGCTAAGCTGCTGGGCCAGACGACGAGAGATGAAATCGCGCGCGAGGGAGAACGACGGCCGCAAGAGCACACTCTCATCGGAGCGATCGGAGCGCAGCGAACGCGTCGGCCAGGAGCGCGGGCGTCGATGACGGAGTGCCACGCTCTGTGCACATCGCGCCCGCGGTACTGTCACACGACTGTGAGCGCGGGGGGCGTCACCCCACACGCGACGAGGTGCGGACGGCACGACGGCGCCAGGCGGTGCGTGCGGCTCCGCGGTGCCCTTGGGGACCGGCGTGCTACGCGAAGTCAGCCCCCCATCGCCGAGCGTCGTCGCGCGCCGGGACTGCACTGCACCCCACGCCTAATCAGCTCCACCAGCCCCTCTGTCCGCAGTTTCAGCTCTAGAAACATCTGCCATCGCCATGGCGGTCTACACTGACGGAAAACCAAGTTCATTTGCACAGGGAGACGGGAGATATAACTAAAGCCGGGTCATGCAGACTTCACCCTTCTGAAGACAACATCGTGAAGCCAGCGAGGGCGTCTCCCATGCTGGAGACAGACACGGGCCAACCCACCGCAGACTGCAGGAAAGACAGACGTGGCCCAGCGGACAGGTCTTCAGGTCGAGCTCTACGTTTTCCACTGAAGCAAAATATTAGCATTTCAAAAATAACTAAATGTCAAATTCTTCCCTAATAAAAAGGCCCCTTAAGTATAAACCTTCACTATCAACTAGGGGATTCCCTGCAGCCCCGCACGTGGCCGGTGCTCGCGACCATTTGCGGGTGGAAGCCAGTGTTTCCCAAGGTGTCAGCGGCACATCCGCCCTTAAGCAGTTTACGGACCCTACTGCTTAAGGCTTAAGAAAAAAATAAACCAAGTTAACAGACGTAAGACAGGTATGGACGGCCCCAAATCCCCACAACCAACAAAACAAAACACCTAAGTCCGAGGTCCGAAAACACCCTACAGTGAGCGGGGAGAGTCCAAGCGCCCTTCGGTCAAGATGCCGCTCCAGCCCAAGCTTTCCCTGTTCGTTCAGCACACAGTCACGGAGCAAGGCGCGGTCCCAGACACTGAACGTATAGCAGGGACTCAAATAAAGCCTTGCGTCCAGGGACCACCAGCCAGGCGTGGGACGGGGAGTACCCTCACTGCAGCTGACAGAGACCCACCCGGCCGGGGACCTCAGTGCTCCATAGCCCATGCCCCACACTGCAAGTCTGCAGCATCCCACAGGTCCAACAGCAAATGTCACCTGACCACAGTCTGTCTCTCCGGTCAAGCGTGAGGGGCGTGGGGTGGGAGTGGGGAAACAGACCAGCAGCAGACGAACGATGGTGGAGCAGAGATGGGGCACCCGGGTCGGAACCAGCCTTGATCTTTGGATCCTGGATCTTCGGAGCTGTGCCCACAGGAGACACTGGGGACAAAGGTGCAGGACAAACCAGCCGCCCCAGCCAGCCCCTCCTGGAGGGCAGTGGAAGCAGTGCTTCTGGGAGGCCGCTCCGCCTGCCGAGGGCAGGCCCAGGCCGCGTGGCTATCTGGCTATCATCTGGAGAACTGGCCCAGCCCCCTGACACCACTGGGGCTTCAGTCTTTCTTCCGGGACCGCCCTCCAGACCCACTGAAACAGCTGCCGCGGAAGCCTGCGAAAAGGCCGGGCTCCTCGGCATGCCCTCATCCGGGCGGCTCTGCTTCTCCGCCCTGAATCTGCTGCGGCCTGGCGGCTGGCTTTCATCAGCAACGCCGCGGAAGCTACAGCCCTGAATGCCTGGCCTAGGCCTCCAGGGACTTTACAGCTTCCACTGCCAGGTGAGCGAGGCTAGGCTGTTACTGGAGGGAGGTTCCAGATGGGGTCCTGGACTTGGGAGTGAGGCCACCCTAAACCACCCTGCCCCTCTGAGCCAGCCTGGACCGGAAGAACCTCCAAGGCAACACTCAGACATGCAAGAGCTAGTAAATATTGGTCGTTTTAAACTGCTGAGTTTTGGGGCGGTTTGTTATTGAGCAAAGCTAGCTGGAGGATAGGGCGCTTAGAAGCAGAATACAACTAACTTACAAAAAAGCTTAATTTTAACTCCTCCTAAAGGGTATGCATCAGCAGCAACACAACTGAAAAAGTACTCTACCCAGCTCGGGATCTGCAACAGCAGTTTGCGTCTGATTCCTGGTCACTTTCCAGGTACATCAAAATACCAAACACGGCAGTGGTATTTGGTTAATATAAACAACAATCCCAACTTATTAAAACTTCTACAAGTTCTAAATATTCTGAAATCCTTACACAACACTATCTCTTATTTCCTTAAGCATAAAACGACCCCAATACTTAGTAAAAGTGAACTTCCCATTCTATTTGTGACTCAACAATAAATGTGTGCTCTCTTCTTTCTGGAGTCTAGCTTTAGATAAAGATCATTAAGCAGAACAAAAAAAGGTGCTCTAAAAGCAAACTGTAATACAATTCCTTTCTTCCTTTCTTTCTTCTTTCCGTCTTTTAGAAATTCTGAACCTGTCATCGGCCTTGACCACAGCGGGTGTGTTTACCCAGGGTGGGCACATGGGGGAAATGCTCGTGAACGCTTGGCTGGAGAGATTTGGGCGTCCAGTGAATTCCCAGACCTGTAGCCTATTTCCTGCAGGTGACTCCTGGCAGAGGACCTTGGTGAAGAGGGGGAAGCGCCCCCTGCAGAGGGGCCCCTTCCAACACGGGAGGGGCTGGGAGGAGGCCGGACAGGCTCCACGGTTCCAGTTCCCACGGCCCTGATGAAATAACTGCATTTCCTACTCAAACAGGACCTGAACAGGGGCGTTCAGGTCCTGAATTCATACATGACCAATCTAGGCACGAGATCCTTGTCGTCACTCAGCCAGAGAGGCCGATGTGCCCAGGCTCCAAGCGTGGGGTGGCCACCCTCCCTGCAGCCCTGAGGCCCGTCCTCCCATCCTACCAGGGGCTCCCTCTGCCCCTCTTGTCTCCCCCACCCACTCCAGGCAACGTAGTCTGGATGGGGTCTAAGGGAGGTTCCTGTCCACGGCCGGCCCACGGCTCAATCATCTTTTTATTTCCCACGTGGCACCTTAACTTCTTGACAGAAAAACCCAAGCACCAGCAGGCCTCCTGCGACAGTTCATTCTCTTGTCCTTACTTTTGTGACACTAAGAACTGGAAAAGCTTCTAATGACATTATGGAAGTCAATATGAAAATATTTTTAAGAGAGAATATATTTATGCATTACATGTGAAAAGGATAATTTTTAGAAAGAACATTCATTCTGATGTCTTTTAGGAAATCAGAAAAAGTATTTTCTAATGTATTACGTGGGTCTTAAAGCTATTGTTTAAAAATACACACACACACACCCCACATACACAACTGTTTCTGTCAACGTTAGCAGCGCGATCTACTTTCCAGAAATTTCCAAATGAACGTGTTATCAGTGCTGACCAGAGAAACAGGCCGTGTTGGCGCTGGGCGACAATCCCTGGCTCGGCCCTCTGCCTGGTGAGTGTTCAACCCTCACCCCAGCCACCCCGAGAAGGGGGACTGTGCTCATCCTCACATTTCGGACAAGGAAGCTGACGCCTAGTGAGGCTAAACGACACCCCCTCACCGAGGCAGCCAGTGGCTGACCCAGGAAGACTGGGCAGCGGCCACGTGGTTCCGGTTTGCAGCCTGCAGCCTGAGCCAGCCCCTCAAAAGAAAAGAAGGGAGAGCCCAATGATACCAGAATTTCGAAGGGGAGACAGGGGAACACCACTCTCCAAACTAAGAGCAGAAACTGGGACACGCCGTTCCCAAGGGTTTTATTGTGTGTCACCAAAGCCACTCTTGGTCAACTTCACAAATAAGCAAAATCTAACTAGCAAATGGAATCTGGGACATGATACTGGACTATGAGAAAATATAAGGAAATATGCCTCCAAAAATCACGCTTCCTACCTCAATGTCAAACATCTCCACGGTGTTGTCCAGCAGCTTCACTCTGATGTGGAGGTGCTTCTCCTGCATCCTGGCCGAGGTCCCTGTCACCGCCCTGAGAGTCTGTAGAGGCTCGAGGGTGCTCACTCCCCCCGCGGTCTGGGCGCCCAGACGGGTCCCTGGGGTCTGCAGGACTCTGTATGTCCCTTCGATCTCCCCCATTCGTCAGCAGCTAAGAGCGAAGAACAGCTGAAACAAGACGAAACCCAAAGAATCATCACTGGCTATTCAGACATGAAACAATATAAAAAAATGATCAGGTACACGGGAATTCTTTGCGAATTTCTGCAACTCCTATGAGTCTTAACTGCATCACGATAGTTAAAAGGAGGTTATCTTCTACTCATATGTGGGTCAATGGGACACAAAACAATGACAGGCAACATCTCCAATATCAGCACCTCCTCGGTGCTTCTGTAAGCCAGGCAGCATGTAGCTCGCTGAGCCCACGAAATCTCACACGCGAGCCCGTCATCACTACTCACCTGGTGGAGAGGGGGTGATAGCCAGCCGCAGCCTGCACCGCCCTGGGCTGCGGAGCAGCCTGGCATACCCTCCCTCCTCAGCCCAAACGGCCACCGCGCTGACCACACACTGTGAGTGCTGGATGCAGCAGGGCACAGCACCCACACATGTCACGCAGCATTCAGCAGGTCCCTCGTCTCTGCTGACAAGGTGAGGAAAACGCCAAGAAAAGTAGCTGAAGACAGCAGGCTTGTCTCTGCCAGCTTTGCACCCCTTGCTTCTTTGAAGCCGTGTCTCGCCAGGCTGGAGTGGGTGCCACCAGTGCTATGGGAAGTAGTTCAGACATAGTGCCGAGTGACAGCCTGGGTGAGTGTCATGAGGGCTGCACACCCGGTGTCAGGAGGCACCTGCCACAGGCCAGGCCCTTCCCAGCAGCTGCTTTAACCCCCACCTCACGATAATCAGCATCGCTACCCAGGAGTGCCCCCTTGACGATGACTGCACTGAGGGTCCAAGTGGGTCGGGCAGCTGGCCCAGAGTGGCACCTGTGCCACGAGAAGGTCTCTGGTTTGAGCTGTGAAGTTGAACAGGGCTGATCATGCCATCATTTCCAGCAAAGAAAGAACAGGCTAAGTGTCGGCTAGAATCCAGTGATGCTGCCTGGCTTTTAATTATCACTAATATAGTTAGTTACCTTCTATTTATGGCAAATTTCTTTCTTAAATGTATGTATTTATGTTTGAAAGTCAACTTAAAGAAAAACACTTCACAATAAAAGCACGGCACAAACGAGTGCCAGATGGTTAGTCAGGAAAGATGCAGCCACTGCAGAAGTTATTTTATTTCACTTAATTATCTTCAAAAAGTCTTCTACTAGTTTGCAGGAAATTTTTTAGAAAACTAATCCTGCTAAATTCCCGGTCCAGTCCCTTGCAGGCCAACGTAACTGCTCTGAGTCCTCTGGCCCTTTTTTCTTTTTCATGTTTGTTATCGAGACAAACTCATGAACTTTTTATCTCTTGAATTAAGTTCAGAAAGCCTCTTGGTGACCAGCTGCCAAGCCACCCCTACTGTCCACCCCGAGAGGGCTTCCACAATCTGACCCACCACGCAAACAGCAGAGCGCGAGGAAGCGAGAACTCGCGGGAGCAGGGGATGCGAGCCGCATGGGCAATGGAGGGAGTCTGTCATCTCGCCAAACCCATCTCCGTCCCGATTCCTGCACAGATGAGCAGACCAGGCCCACCCAGGCACATGTCAGCTGAGCCCCGCGTTGGGTCCAGGTTGGCAGTTACCTGTCACCCTCAGAGCTCTCTCCAGGCTGTACGCCCTCTGAGAGCAGGAACTAAATTCTTTCTGTGAATGTTTTCTCAGCATTTACTTAATTAACGTCACTGGCACCAAAAAACATCAAAGAACTTGAGAAGTGAGTGCCACAGCGCGGGGACGTGAACGGAGACCCCACCGAGAAGCCATCTCCAGCGTGAGAACGACAGCTCACGCTCATCGAACGCTCCTCTGAGACAGGCCACAGGCGTCTTACTTCGGGCACCGAAGCAACCCTCCATCTCAAGCGACAATTCTGGAAACATATACAACCTGAAGATATTTCTAGAAGCCATTTTTCTTATTTATTCCATTGTATAATTCTCATTTATATTTTTTCTTAATAATAATTTTAGAGGGAAAAAAATTATTCAGGCTCTTTCTGGTCTACTCATTATAAGAAAGTCAATTCTAGACACATAACTCTGAGAAAGCTCAGGACAGCCAGTGTCCAGAGGTGCCCCTTCGGGTGAGAACACTGGGCGACAAGTTGGGGCGCTGGCCCTCTCAGAGCGGAGGACTGTCCGGAGCGCCTGGCGCAGGGGTCTGTCCTCTCTGTGACTCATTAAGCCATGCATTTGATTCATGCAATTTTTCTATAACTGTTCATTTTATAATAAAAGCATATTTAAAACAGTATACTTTTAATTTAACTTGGCTTCATCTGTCATAAGAACAAAAGGCAGAAGAGACGAATGAGAAATACTTTCCTTAGTTCAAGGAAGACTAAGACACAGCTCCCTAGATGAAGCCCCTCCTGGTTGTTCTCACCCAGCCCACAGCAAACATCAACACAGCTGATGCTGCAGCTCAGGCCACAAGACACTCCCATCCTGGAAGACAGACTTGCTTAAGACCCCGTGAGGGCCCTGCTGTGACAGTCTAGAGAAAAATCTGTTTGCTATTACACAACAGTAACACGTCATGAACTACCCATTGAATAATTACTCAGCTTTAAGTAGAGAACTTGGAGAAAGTTGGTATGTAACACCAATGCTGTGGATGTCACTTAACCTTGGGCTCAAAGACTGTTGATGTTTTAGGACAAGCAGCGTAAGTAGACACTTCCTGCAGAAACATGAGTTTGCTCATCCAACAGCCACTTTCTACAGTCTGACAATGGGAGAAGTGGAAGGAAAAACGTACGTCCCAAATCCATCTCATACAAATTATGACCTAACGGAACTTAATTTGTTTTGTTTTGCGTGCTTATAAACAAACATTATGAAGGCAAGGATATGCAAGCTAGACTAGAAACACAGCAAGGCCAGCAAGAGCCCTTGGCACACCAAGTGTTCTGCAGCCCTGGGACCCTGAACGTCGATGGCACTCCCGCTCACTTCTCTGCTGCTGCTGGAGAACCCTTCCCAAAGGCCAGAGGGACGTGGCGCTGTAAGAACCAGGGACCCGAGGGCCTCCCGGTTGTTTGCCCACCTTCCTTCCACGTGAACGAAATGCTGCGTGGGCTTCATTCCTAAAAGCGCCTCCAGTGGCTGGATCCCACGGCCACTGCTGACGCTCAGGGCTCCTGCTGCAAACCCAGCGCCTGGGCACACGTCCTCATTAAGAACAACTTTAAAAACCATCCAGACACATTTCCACCTTGAACTTGGAAAAACAAGGCTCGAAAGTCTGCCAAGGCTTTGTGTGATGGCATGTTGATGCAGGTTCGTAATGAATGCACAACTGGGGGTGCTGGTAGTGGGGAGGCAGTGTGTGTGGGGGGCAGGGGTGTGTGGGAGCTCTGCACCTCCACTCAGTTTGCTGTGAACTACGAGCCACTCCAAAAAAGTCCAGTTAAAAAAAAAGCTCTGCCACGGAACACGTAACTCAGAAGGGACAGAGTCAGGGCCGGGGCACAGCCTGCAGCAGCCGGGAAGTCAGCACGTGGACCCCGCGTGGCCACCCATCCACAGCGACGCGGCTGCTGAAACGCCCGGTGTGCAGAAGCACCCACCTTCCTTGAAACATTTTTGGTTGCCTCTTTTAGGAGGACCAAAAAACATATAGCAGGTGCTTGAATGACGTCATTTTGTTCAATATTGTTTCGTTATTACGTTGATGAGAAAGAAAAAGACTGACTTCTATGTGGGGACCCTGTCCGTGGGGTGTGTACTCTCCCCACGTCTGGTTCCCCACGCGGGTTCCTCCCGCGTCCCAGAGACGTGCCCGTGGGGGTGACTGAATGCCCAGACTGTCCAGCGATGGGAGGACGGCCTGAGCAGGGTGGGGCCCCCCTTGGACCCCGAGCTCCGGCAGGGGCTCAGCCCCCGCAGCCCTGAACCGGAAGCGGCGGGGGAAAAGAGTCATCGTCCTCGTCTGTCTTCATCTTTCCTAAACGTCTGCAGACCTTGCCCTTGCTTCGTGTTTCACATCAGAAGCGTTTGGGGTCTTTATGTAGAGCTGGGTGATGTCCGGTGGCCGGAAACGTGCCGCAGGAACATAGCCTTTGGTCACGTCATCAGCCTCTGGCACAACTGGTTTCATTACACGTCGTTGCACATAAAGTCTCAGTTTCTGAGACCCTATCGATGACGTGAGGACCCGCTGTGTTCCTACACTGACCACCTAAGGAAGCAGAATGTGGCACTTATTTTCACCAGCGTCCACTGAGTCTGAGCCCCGCAGCAGTCCGGGGAACGTAGTCCCACTGCCGATGATACCCGCGTGGGATTCCCACCCAGCTCCTTGAGGCTGGGCTGCTCTACCTCTTTATTACAGTGTAGCGAGGGATGAACCCTTTTTTATTCCCTTTTTATGTAGAGCTGGGTGATGTCCGGTGGCCGGAAACGTGCCGCAGGAACATAGCCTTTGGTCACGTCATCAGCCTCTGGCACAACTGGTTTCATTACACGTCGTTGCACATAAAGTCTCAGTTTCTGAGACCCTATCGATGACGTGAGGACCCGCTGTGTTCCTACACTGACCACCTAAGGAAGCAGAATGTGGCACTTATTTTCACCAGCGTCCACTGAGTCTGAGCCCCGCAGCAGTCCGGGGAACGTAGTCCCACTGCCGATGATACCCGCGTGGGATTCCCACCCAGCTCCTTGAGGCTGGGCTGCTCTACCTCTTTATTACAGTGTAGCGAGGGATGAACCCTTTTTTATTCCCTTTCTACTAAGCATGACCGGCAACTAAGTAATTCAATCACTGTTAAGGAACCGGAGGAAAAAAACAGTCAGAATTTGCACTGCAAGGCGAAGCCCCAAAGAGCTGATGAGAAACGGCTGGCAGCTGGAGGGCAGGCGGGCGCCGGCACGCACGCCCACGGGAGGGTGCCAGCTGCACAGACGCCGCCCTCCCCAGCGCACAGCTTCCCTGTCTGCTGGAAGCTGGCATGGCTGAGCACGGCAGAAGCGTCTGGCGCTGGAAACCTGGGGGGAAGGCGCTGCAGC